TATATATATATATATATACACATTCTCAAAGTCCCGAGATAACTGATCGGGTTAAACGCAAACTCTCAGTTTTTATAAACTGAGGACACACACAGCGCGCAATGTAACCACATACTAGCTTGTTGTCTTTTTTTTTTTTTTTTTTAAATCGATATAATTATCAGTAGTGATTATTGAAATGGAAAGCGAAAAGTAGCTCATTGTTCTTGAGGAAACCAAATGGAACCTTAGCTATCGTAATTAAATACTTGATTCTAATTGTATTTGTTTTCATTCAAATTTGCATGCATTAACGATCTACTTAGATGTAAGCCTGATGTAGGTACGTAGACTATATTAAATGCCACTGTGTGCCGATTTTTACATTAGATTCTTCCGTTGAATTTCTCTTTATCCGTGTTATTAAAATATATTATAGATTTAACGCTTCAAACTCAATCAAACGAAATTTTTGATTTTTCGACAGTTCTTTTGCACAGGAAAAAAAATTGAACGAAATTATTCGAGGAAGGAACTTCGTTTCTTAAAACGAAGTTCCACAAAAATAATAACGTTAAATGTTAAATTTTTAACAAACAAACGTAATACTTGATCTCGTGCGATATGTAGCACTTTGTTGTGCTCGTTTCCTTCAAACGTAGCCACAACTATTTTGTAGGAGATACTGTGGCGTAAGGAGCACAAGGAGACACCCGGTATAAGAGGGAGAAATCTAATCTACGTGCCTCACTTATTGGCATAAATAGCATGTTACCCATTAGCTGAATCGAAAACCAGACGCGCCAATGATTTTATCCAACAGAAATCTCGTGCATAGAGCTTTGCTTCTTTGGAGAGAATTCAAACGTAGGCTGGCGAAAGGTTCAAAGTAAGTCGCGAGATAACGTTGTTTCGTATCGTAGCCCGTGTTGTTCTTGAACTCTTAATTATCTGTATCACCATAATACGGCAGTCATGGCAGACTACCATAGAGACGCCTCTCAATCTTTCTGCAACTAATCGTTGTTCCGAGCTTTGACTAGTGAAACTGGAGAATGCCTTCGGTGATGGTACATTGGCTGGGCTGCCAGTACTTTTGCAACTCCTGTACAACGAAATTTTGTTACAGAAAACAGTTCAGTTGTAAACAGAATTTTTTATATAACGTGAAATAAAGAAACAAAAGGCTTTCGAGACGAAAACTAGCAAGTGGAAGGTCAACCTTTTATCCTGAGTCTCTGTTTCACGGCGAGCATGAGAAGGCGGTGTGGAGGTCGGTGTGAGTATCAAAACAGGTGTAGTAGTAGGCGTGGATGAAGGTGTCACGCTTTTCAACGACGAATTCTTGCGTCTGGAGGCTGGTGATGCCGGCGCAGATCCAGCTGCTCCGGTACCTCTTAACCAAGAACTCTTACTAGTGTCTGGCTCTGACGATGATGGGGAAAGAAGAAGACCAGGAGATAATAAAACTACCGGGACGTGGGCGAAATGTTCAGTTGGTATTCGCATCTATAACACAGCGAGTGTACATATTACAACTTAAACATGTTAATTCAAACTGACTGAACAAAGGAATTTCAAGAGAGCTTACTTTGGAGTAACACTTTACACATACTGTCCTCTCGCACAAACGACAACGCTGCCCCCACGGTCCTAACAGTCCGAATCTAGTTTTTAAGCAAAGGAAACAAACGCGTCTCTTCTCTACATCTTCCTTTACTCGACCCTCTACGGGCAAAGATTCCAATTCTGCTTTGGTTAGTACACTACGAATATGCACAATCTCTTCCAGGGTTAAAGAAAGCCTTTCATCCAGGAACATGTCGCCTAACGTAGGCTTCTATAAAGAGGAATATTTTCTCGTTATTAGACAATCTATTTCCAACAAAATATGTAAATGAAGCTTCTTCTGCTTCTTCTAAACTTTCTTTCTTTATATATACGCGATGATTTCTTTTATTTTTGAAACATATTGCTCTAATGAGAGATTGATTTTTGCAAGTTGTCCTCACCTGTCCTTTATCATCTTGCCAGTCTTCATTTTGATCCTCACTATCCTTTGTACCTTCGGCGATAGTTTGCGATCGTCGCGGTTGCCTTGCTCTCGGTTGCGGGCTCAAACTCGGGCTGGGATTCACGCTGATGTTGGGACTCGGGCCTTGACTCAACGACGACTCTGTTGCACCTATGTACTGACGACTCTGTGGCCTCGAATGAGGAAGAGACGTGGTACCAGTTAACGCTGTAAGTGCTATACTGCGTCTTGCATGTTTTCGAGCCGATGCTCTTCTAGATGGACACTGCGTCGCAAGATCGTACGCTAAAAGCAATTAAATTTAAAAATACGTACTTTCTAACACTATCAGTTTTCATTGATCATTATAATTACATTCAAGTTGCGTATCGCAAAATCGATGATACTCGTTCCTGGTTAAACGTAAACCACCGGTTCTTCGCCAAGGATTTGCAGAACCTGCTTCGTCGTCATCCCTTTGATCTTTATGCCTAACGCGAGCACTATCCCTATCACCAAATGTATAATCCTCTTTCAATTGCCAATAATTCGATCCTTCGTCCTCTTCCTCGAATCTTGTTACTGCCAATTCATCATTGTAATCTTCGTCGTCATCTTCGTCTTCCGCGTCAAGCTGTTTTTATTATTAAAACATTATAAATTAATAAAAAGAGAATAAAAAAATTATGATCTACCTTCAAATCAAAATCCACAGGTATTATCTTTCTTCTACTTGTCGCAGAATTCGAACTGTCCAGATCCCTTCGAGGAGGCTTCGGCACTGTAGGTGACTCGCTGTCCTTCACATCGATAGCACTTTGGATATGATCTAAAAAGAATATCGTTCGTAGAAACAGACTCGAGACATGCGTGTGTTCAATCGAGAAGCTGTCGGAGAAAGAAAAGCGTGTATGTTGAGATGGCCAATGAAACAATATATGGCACGTGAAATTTTATTCAAAAGAAAAAAAAACAAAAGAGAGAGAGAGAGGGTTAAATATTCACAAAATTGTGGTACCTCAGTAAATCCTAAGTACATACACAAGTGCTTCCTGCGCGAACGCATAAGATTATAAACATGATCATTAACATTACACAGACATTCAGAAAAAAGGGGAGAGCAGCTTTTCATAAAGTGTATCATAAAATACTCCTACAATCAAATCGGTAAAAAACTGAGACCAACATTCGTGACGAAGTTTCTCTATCATCAAGTATATTATTATTACAATTATAA